GCACACGCACCCAGCATGAGTTTAAGCCAGCAGGTCCAGGACTCGAACCACGGTTGATTACATGGGAGTTCAGCAACATAGCCATTACGCTAACTGCTGGTCCCGAAAAAATTTTTCCTTCTGCAATAAGGCTCATGTGAGCTCCCCTAAGAGAGACAGGGAGAGACAGTGAGAAAGAAAGTGAGAAATCACCCCTCGGGGGGATGGCCACACTACCATCCCTTCTCCTCCATTCTCCTCTCGGGTCTTTTAGGCATGCACACACATTCACCTGGCATGATTTTCTTTCTTTTTTATTCTTTTTTTTGCTCAGGCATGATTTTCAAGCCATCTGAGCCAGGACTTAAACAGTTGGGTATGTGGGATCAGCACTTAACCTCTATGCCACCTGCTGGCCTCTGGAATAAGATTTTCAAAAAAGATAGTACTGCCCTGGAATTTGATAGAAAGTGGACGAATGTGGAGGATCTGGTGCTGAGTGAAGCAAGTCAGGTTATGATAGAGAAACATCGTGTATCTCCACTTAACCTATACTGACTGACTGCACTCTATGGCAGACACTGAAAGACTGGGGGACATACAAGTGGAGAATGTGGAAGATCTGTTGCTGAGTGAAGCAAGTCAGGCTATGACAGAGAAACATCGTATGTCTCCACTTAACCTATACTGACTGTCTGCACTCTATGGCAGACACTGAAAGACTGGGGGACATACAAGTGGAGAATGTGGAAGATCTGTTGCTGAGTGAAGCAAGTCAGGCTATGACAGATGTGGGAGGGAAGAGAACAGGAAAGGAAATTTGGGAGAAAAAATAGAGAGGTAAGGCATTTGTGGGACATGGGTATGCTTTATTACCTGTTGATAAGGACGTGTGTATGTTCTCAACTGGGCAGGACTGAGGTGTGTGTCATGCTGGGTAAAGTCTCTATAATCTAAATGATGTATAGTGATTAAATGTATTTTAAAAAAAAGGAAAGAGGGGGGAACCAGCAGGTGGCATGGTGGTTAAGGCACTGGACACTCCCACATGGCTGACCACGGTTCAAGTCCTGGACCTAATGGCTTGCTTTCTCACTTTCCCTCTCTCTCTTTCTGTGTCTGTCTCTGATCAAATTAAAATAAATGACTGAATAAATAGAAATAATTTTTAAAAATTGGAAAGGAACTGCAGTAGTAAACTAAATGTATTTCTATTTTAAAAAAAGAATGTGAATTAATAAAAGAAAATAGAATATTTTTAAAAATTTAAAAAATAATAGTACTGAGAAAAACAAGCACACTCAGCCCTCCTCTCAGCCTTCCCAGCCAGCCAGGACCGTTGGCCTCGCTGGGCGCCTGGCCTGTACATGTGGGTCAGGGAATCGAACCCTGACCTAAATGACTCCAACATCAAGAATCCATTGGCTACCCCTACACACTGTCCCCGGGCTTCCCTGATTCTGAGGTCCTAGATACTTTTGAGAATTCTAAAGACACTTGGGACCAGCAATTGGCGTAATGGCTATGTCGCTGGACTCCCATGTAGTCCACCGAGGTTCAAGTCCCGGACCTGGCGGCTTACACTCACACCATGCCCGTGTCCATGCCTCCCTCTGCTC